CTAGCTAAATATTTACCTTAAATATTTGGCTAGCTAAATATTTAAGTTTCAAGCTAAATATTTATCTCAAAACTAAATATTTAAGTCGCAAGTTAAATATTTAGCTTGTTAACTAAATATTTAATTTGTAAGTTAAATATTTAGTTTATAAACTATGACATTTATAAATGTATGAATCATATGGTGAAAAACTGTCTAAGATATCACAGAAGCAGGTAATAAAGAGGGTCAATAACGTTTGTTGGTTTAAAGGTCTATGATGTGTGCAGACAGTTTGTTGTCAGCTAATTTTCCTCCATCCTTTYAAAAATGGTGCCTGAGCTTTGACTCTTTCTGTGCAGCCGGCCCAACACCAGCATGTCGTGGCTGCTGAGCCCGGCGAGGACGATGTGCATCCTGGCCTGGAGGCAGTACAGGCTGCGCTGTGCGGTGCTGCTGGCGGCCGCGATGGGCCTGCTCTTCCTCGCTCTGCTCTTCTTCTCTCTGCCCTCAGAGCTCAACCACAAGCTGTTTAACACTGCAGGCTAGATCCACCCGGCTGGATCRCCTTTACGTCTCATTGCTGTATATAATTTGCACAGTATGCTTTTTTTTTTTCTTACAGCTGAATTGTACAACCGTTTTATTAAGAATTAAAATACATTTTAAAAAGCTGCATTTATTACAGTAAGTCTTTTATTTTGATGCTGACTTCAGAAACACTTTTCAAACACATTTTGTATAATATGTCCGGAGCCAACCTGTAAAAAATGATCTACAGTAATTGGACTGCATTTTACATACATAATATACTGCACTGTACTTGCAAATTTTTTTAATTGTTCTGAATTTGCTGAYAAATCTCTCTAGGGTTTAATCCTGCAGTCACACAGATGGAGGTGAAATATGGCGAACGCAAAGAGTCATCTGTTGAGGCGAGACGCTGCTGCAGCTGCACCCTCAACTCAGAGTTTCGCTGCTTCGGACGATCTGTCTCCAGAGCGAGATCAGAAATGTCTGTCAGCACAGCACTGGAGACACAGAAACAAAAAACATTTGTTGCACATGATGTCTTTTATTTGTGATGTGGGTTTGTGTCACTTACTGGTACTTCTTTTGTGTTATTTCTGCCGTATCCCACAGTTGGAGTTTCTCCTCAGACACTAAGTTTCCCAGACTTTCCCAACACGCTTCATCCTCTGAAGAGTCCTGCTGAGGGGCTGAGCTCCTCCTTAAAGGAGCAATATCATGTAAAATCAACTTTTATTGCTATAATCTCATTTAAAAAACATGCCCA